AGAGAGGCAATTTATTACCCTTAAAAATCGCATTTATTTTCTCCCATAATTGCTATTACTGTCATGAAATGGTCAGAATGTCGGTGAAAATGGTCAGAATCAAGGTCCTATTCGAGTTTGTCAATTAGAAATCATCAGAATTTAGCAATCAACTTCAACAACGCAGCAGCAGAAAGCGGAGTGACAAGAATAAGGAAGTTCCTATGTTTTTTTTTTTTTCCCCCCCCCCAGTCAAAGCTTAGACCTAACGCTGTTTCCTACGCTGGTTTCTAAAGATTAAGGAGAAAATAACTTACTTAACAGTATAGCTTCATAAAACTTAGTAAGTTATATAACAGACAGTAAATTGTAGAATAATAAAAACGCAATGGTTATGAAAAATAAAATATTTCCTAGTTAATTCAGGATTAAACGTAGCAAATTTTACAAATCAATTTGGAACAGGAAAAAGCATTTTCAGTATAGAGTGTAACTTCTCCCAAACAGCAATGCAATGCATTCAGCGACTGTTGAGGCTAGATGATATCTATGAGTTCAGAAGCGAATGACTCTTATTGTCCTTATAATTTCTTTCAAGTGCGTTAAGATTCCTAGGAAACGGACGAAGAATGCATTTCCTTAAAAGAACGTGCTCAATTGGATTCAAGTCCGAAGAACGAGACGGCCATTCCAGGTACATTATTGTTCCCACCAAACATGCTTTTCTATCACACCAGCTCTGTGTAGTATAACTCTACGGTTCTGCAAAAGAAAATTTTCACCAATAGCATAAGGCCGTACAGAAACAAATCTCCATTATCAAATCTTTATTATCTCCAGTTGGTATGCAGAGTTGTCCAATGCACATATTCTCTCCGGTGATGAAGGAGGAAAGCTATATAAATTAGCTGGTCGTCTCGTATAAAGGCCTTTTTCACGAAACCGTCTACAGATTACATGGCTGCAGCAAAGGAAGATTTGAACTGTATTAGGATAGAGGTCCTATACTACAGCTGCACAATACACTCCGGAACTGATTCAAAAACCGATTTACTTCGTTGAACGAATGAATAGTTGATTCCAGAAAACGGAGTTGTAGCTCTTTTATAGTTCACGATGAGCTGTTGTTGGTAGCATGCCAAAAATAGATACTCGCTATTTGTCCACGAAAGGATTCACTTTACTGAGCGACAGAATGCCTGAGTTTCTCCAAGCGCTCATGTTGGAAGCATGCCAGGAACGTTCGATTCCCATTTTAGGGTAGAACAGAATGTCTATTTTCCCATGTTAAAAGTGAATTTAATTTTTATCATATCCGAACTTTTTCAAAAGTTTTTTAATTCTAGAATTTTATTGTTAGTTCTATGTAGAAAGGTGGTTTTAGGGGATTTCGAAGCTACCATTGAAAGAAATGAGTTCTGGGAGTTAGCGTTTGCATTTCTATGCAGATTATTGTGAAAAATATTGATCAATAAAGTATTTTTCAAAATTGAGATTTTATTCACAAAATCTTGTAGAATTCATGTTCTTAAGCAGTGGTCTCAAAATGGCGGCCCTCGAATCAATTTTCAACCGCCTACGAATATTTTTAAATTATATATTTGATGTAAATAGGATGATGCTTGGAAACACAGAGATATGGACTGAGCTCATGCTCGGGAATGCTGTTGAATGAGCAGAAGATTGAACGATTAAGGTTGGATCCTTGCTGCTGTGATGCTCGTATGCTAGACTATGTGATTGGGGTAAGGAGGAAAAATTTCCCACTTCGATACAATCTGTAAATTTAGTTTGGTCGGCCGACAGATGGTGCAGCTTCTGTATCCTGGTGTTCCTGGTTTATTCTATACCGAGTGTTTCAAAACTATTGTTCAGAAATGTCCATGTCGTTTAAGAACGTAATAACATTTAATAATCACATAAGAACAACGGGTCGCACGCGCAACCTCGACGCCCTACATGCAAACAAAGACAAAAACGAAACATATAAGATGGGTCACTCATAATGTAGATTTATAAGGCAAGGAAGAGTAAGTAATGTTTAAAATGAAATTGTTAAAGCACGTGTTCGAAGTTGCAGCCTACAGATACAATACACCCCTCGCAAAGACGACGCATCAATCGACGATCAATCGGTTTGCAAAAATGCAGGATGTATCACGAACAACACCACCTGCAGCAACGATGCGTACCACTAAGTCAATGCCCGATTCAGTATGGATTTCGTACACTAGGCTTTTTATGTAGCGTCAAAAAAAAGGAAATTAGTAGGGGACAGATCCGAGTATCGAAGCATAAGCAAGAACTGCTTTGCAGCTTTCTTGTTTTAAATCGTCGGGGTTGCTCATGCGATCCTATGTTCCTAAATGATTACTGCCTTTTATCGTGTTCAGGAACTCCATGTACATTTCTGAACGATAGTTCTGAAAGACTCTGTAGAACTGGTACTTTTAATCTTTACTTTTCTTCAATCAGTCATTACTTATTTGGCTGGTTGCACAGCTGCCCAGTTCAAAAACAAACTATTCCTAGACAAGCAAACTAGCGTACGTCTTGTAATTCCTGTTTATTTGTACTTTTTCTTAGACTTTATCAGGTTCAATGTTCCGTCTTACTTTCTTTGGGAACATGCAGGGACCTGACTCGGAACAGGGAGCTTTAAAACTAAATAACTGTGGGAAGTAGACAAGATACACAAGAAGGGTATACAAAACCCTTTATTTTTCACTCTTTACAATAATTTCCGTACTTCGGAATACAGAGACCAACTACTTGTGGTCTGAACGTAAGAATATAAAACTATAACTAAACTCTAACTTAAATTTGGAATAATAAACGTGGAAGATTGGCCTTATATTAACAGGAAGCCGTATGTAGTACAGAGAACTGTTAACACTACAATACGTTTAAAATTATCAAGAGGATTAAACCTCTGGCCTGGAAGGCAACCAGCAACTGAGTAAAACTCTAAGGTAAGCGGCCTGCTTCGACTAAGTCCTTCCGCTCTCTCGCTTGGCAAAAAGCCACAACTTAAGTACTTGGCGTTCGCCAGACAAATTTTGCATAAATAAGTTAACGCTTTTAATTCTGGCCGAAAGTAGAAAATAAGAAGTGATAGTAGAGATTTAAAATAAAATAAACGTTAGTAAAAGTTAAGATCCTTACAACTTTACCTTATATCAGTGATGGCGAACCTATGGCATGCGTGCCACAGTTGGCACTCAGAACCTCATAAGCCGGCACGCGCTTAAAATATTACTTCCTTAATCAATAATCACAATCAAATGATACTATGTAATTTAAATTTTTAGTCTGTTCTTGAACGTTACTTACTTATCGCATAATGCCACTGGCATAGGGCCTAAGGCTGAGCCTAGCCTTTAACAACAACCACAAGATTGTTTCCAAACTTGATGAGACTGAACGGAAGGTTTTTATTAAAGGGAAATTGAGAAATTATAATTACTAGAAAGTTGGTTTTTGCAATTATCTTTCTGAAACAAAGCGTCTAACAACGGCCAGCTTTCAAACTTCACTCTGCCTGGTAAAACATGGTAATCCACTCTCCGATGGGGATTTAATCAAAGAGGTTTGGGGCACGCTTACCCCCCCAAAAAAAAGTTTGGGGCACGCGGCCCCAGAAAGGTTCGCCACCATTGCCCATATTCATGTTGAATGTTGCTTTGAAACGAATTAAAAATTTAGCGAACAGAAATTTCTGTTGGCTACATTTTTAATTCGTAATTTTCCTTTACGTTATTATAATTAGTATCGTTTATGTATTTTTAATAAATTAAAATTTAATTGCAAAATCATATTTTGTCAAAAAACAAATTTCTTTTTCAGAAAATTTTCTTTTTTTTTTTCTTTTTTTTTTTTTTTTCAGAAAATACCGTCAAAACTTCATGAGAATATTAATAACGTATTTTTAGACTAAGAAAACTTAAAAAATTCTAAAAATTCTTTCGGCGTACTAAATGTAACAAATTTAAAAGTTAAAGACATTAGTAAATCACAAAAGAATACGATTGATTGGAATTTAATGAAAAAGCAACCAACTTTGAATAGTTTATTATTCGACTTTTCAAATGCAAATTGAAAGTGGCGTCAAAAGTCGCAGTTTTTTTAAAATTAAATATCTCGGTCAGTTTTTGTTTTCTGGGAGAAACATTTTATACTTTAACGAGTATAAAATGTTCTTAAATATAAGGACATTTTATAAAATTTTTTTCTTTGAATTTAAAAATGCTGAAACATCATCATTTAAAACATTTTTGCAATTTTGAAGCATATGTTTAGGACTAACAGTTGCCAAAATGTAGGCCAAGTAAGGACTTTTGTAAATACAGTGTACACTGACGCAAAAAAGTTTTGTAGGCATAAGAAACTTTCAAACTTTCAACGATAAAATTCAACCATTATTCCAAAACTAAGTATTTTTCATTGCGTTTTGCGTCTAAATAATGCTAAGTCTATTCCGAGGAAGAATATTAAATACCACTAATAAATAAATGAGTTATTTTAAATACCTTTAGAATGCCTTTAAATAAAAAGTTAAGTTAAAAAACGTATCGCGGTATTACGTTACGAATGTTATAAAGAGCCAGTGCTATCAAGCTTTTCTTGTAGTAGGTTTTTAGAAGAATTTTATATGTGAAAAAGATGCAGGTTAAGGTTTAGGAGCTACTTTGTTAACTTGAGAAATTAAGATTTCTTTTGATGCAAGCAAATTTACAATTTTTCATTGGAATCGTTTAAAATCTCAGAGTAGCTGAACTATTGAATTGGAAATAAAATATGCTATTCAATTTAATTTTAATATATAGTGAAATAAAGCCCAATAGATTTTACAATATATTAGCCGCGGTTACGAGGACACATTTTATGCATTGTATATACAAAATGTTGCACGTTTTGTTGATACTAGCCACCGCAAAAATCAATGTATAATATAAAATTAAGAACAATGAACATAAAACGAGGAAAAATAAAGAATCATATGCTACAGTATAGGAACTTACAGCTGTAACTGTTTCCGAAAAAAAATTCGTCCTTCGGAAATGACTGGGCATGTTCGTCCAAGGTTATTGCCACTAAATAAGAAAGACTTCATCAGGAGCTGGCTATCTTTATGTTTAGTTTTCCGAATCTGAGTGAACTATGAACATAAGTTTCTAAATTTGTCTCTGGATTATAGTCAGTGACGAAAATATATTTGTTTAAGTCTGGCTTCTGCTGTTAAACACGTAGTCTAAACTGTTAAGCGGCATAAACGTTGAGTGAAGAATTTCACGTTTTTTAGTTCCTTTTCTCAAACTACTTTCCGACTTTCTGCTAGTATGATTCACTGCTAGTCTAAAAACGTCCGTTCTTTTTTGCGTCAGCCCGAACTGTAGCCCAGATTTCGTATTTAGAAATTCCAGCATTTCAGTTGCATGAAATATTACCTACAGAAAATTTTCGCATGAGAAACTATTTAAGCGTGCAATCTAATTTTCTATATAAAGTGGGTAAAAATATCTTGAAAATTCCTTTTTCAATCTTCTTTATACAGTTATGCTCACAACGTTTCACACAATAATATTTTTGTATCCTTAAAACTTATTTAAACTTCTGATAACATCTAAAAGATAACATCTTATCTAACTCAACATCTAAAAGATCTGGAACTGTTATATTTGTTTTACAAAGAACATTGATTCGCACTCGTAGATTCTTTCAGTTGTCTTACAAATTATAGCCATACATTCCTCATCAATGCGTTGGGAGCAATAAAAAAATTATGTGCTTCTTAATTGTTCTTAAGAATACTCAGATAATTTTCTGTATCAATGAGATGTTTACTGTGCTATTTGGTTGTTCATGTGCCACAGTTTCTATACACCTTGTTTAAAAATGTTAAATTTGGTAAACATTAATTATTTTGTAGAGACATGAGGTATTTTTCGGAAGCAGACGAGATGAAAAATTAATAACCGCCTTCGTCGGGAATCGAACCACGGACCTCTGGAACACCGGCCCAACGTACAGAACCACTACACCACGAAGGCACTCTAAGAACGTGGGAGACATACCTTATAATTTTATTGATATTTATGTCATTAGTGTGAATTACAAAAACCTGATTTTAATGCCATATATTATATACCACAACAACGGAATTTCTCTCTAACTCTTCTAATTATACACGATTCATTTTTAATAAATCTCATGTGAACACCACATGGTTTCCTTTTATGGCCTGTTAAATTATACACATTTTTGCTGTATTTCATTTAAACTTATTTCCTCGAATTTCATTAGAGATGTACAAGTATTTCTCATTCAATTAATTCAGTTCTTCGTGACGAAGCAAAAATATATAAAAACTCAAAACATCTTCATTAAAATGTAAAATACAGAAAAACATAAAACATCAAATGCATCTAAAACAATTAAAAAACATGTTTTTACGATTAAAATTAGAGTCTCTGCGCAAAAACAACCAATTTGGCCAGCGGGCAAGAAGGCAACGAGTTTTGGGCCCAACTCCGCAAAAAGGCATTGAAGGTGCAAAAATTGACTTAATTCGCATTTCTACTGAGTTTCAAATGTAAACAAATGGCGGTTCGTTAAATGCACAATTTACCAACATATAAAAAAATATTACCAGCATATAAAAAAAATTAAGTTCACTCAGCCAGGTAACAGAGTGGGAATATATATATATATATATATATAAACCAATAATTCATAATACGATTGATGCAACCGATTGCAATTAAAAAGAGAGGTGCACAACTACATGTTATTATAACAGTCACATATACAAAATATTAACGTTCTACGGTTGTTCATTTTTGAGTTATGCAAGACACATACGTACGTACAGACGTCAAGAAAACATTTTACAATCCTTTTTGGAAAAAACAGTCTTTTATTCTGTCATTGCCTATTATTGCCTAAATAATAATACATAAAACACATTTTAAATGGAAAATTCAACTACTGAGTTTCGATTCTACGAAAAGTGATACAGATGACTTTTACAGGATTTCAGGGCCATTTAATTAATGTTTGAAATATAAAAAGTACTTTTTAAATGTTCAATATGATAGCTTTTACCTCGACTATAACTCTGCATCTTGATTTCAGTGATAGAAAGGCTTTTCGTAAAATTTTCAAGGATACTGATTTCCATTCCTCTTCCACTTCTTTGCAGATTCCATCAATGAGGGTGTGTTTGCGTTTAGAAAGTTGCGTTTTCAAGAGTCCAAATGCACAATAATTCTTAAGTGAAACGTCAGGGGACTTCTTAAGAATACTTTGAAAAGTTATATATTCAATACCTGTATCAGTCTTCATATTTTCAAGGAATGCTGTGGTACTTTTCTAAGTACAACTTTTTCTTTTCCCTGAAGCAGTTTTACTCTTTGTCATTTTAGAATAAAGAAATGGAATTTATTCGGTAAATTTCAAAGCCCCACCAAAGGCTGAGCGGTAAAGTCTATGAGTACTGGTAGTTCAATCCGAGGCTCGAATCCCGCGAAAGGGCTGGCTGCATGAGTTGTCTCAGTTATTACGTGTATACGAGCCAATTTCCCTTAGAAAGTTCTCCACGAAGGCATTCCTTCCATTAGGTAGATAGCCTTCGAATGCTTTGCCGTAAACAAATAAACCAAGTCAAACCTGTAAATTTCGGGAGTAAAACTTGCTCTTGATAGTACATTGAGTCGATTTTAACACTTTTTCCCACTTTTCTTACTTTTAATTTCTCATTGTAAGAGAATCCTGTGATAATCATAAACCCCTCATTGAAGCGTTCTGATGGAACCAGGTCTGATACTGATTATTGATGGAACCAGGTCTGTATACTTTTTCTCTTCGTTTCCGATTTTTTTTTTTTTTTTTTTTTTTTCCATGCTCCATCAAGGGTCACATTCTATATCCATTTATCTTCTGCTAAATAATTTTCCTACAGGATTCTACAAATTGTTATACGTTGAGGCACATGCGTCGGCAAAAGCTGGTGAACATTATGTTTTTTAGCTTTTTAAATTTGTAAATCTTAGTTTATTAATTTATTTATTGTTGCTAGAAATATATTTAAAGACTTTACAAATGATTTCTTTCGTTGACAGATTTTCTCTTATTACTAAGTTTAGAAGTCTTAGAAACAGCACGCACCTTTTCGGGTATTCGTTTTGGAGTCTTCTTTCCATGTATAATTAATGATTGAAGGTATTTTCCTTCCATTTAATAATGTTGCTTATTTTGTGCTTATAAATTTTAGGAATATTTCTCTTCAGAAAGCTCAAAAACATAGCCTTCAATCCACAGCTTGTTTACATGTGATATTTTGAAAAGAAAAAATAAATTTTAAAGTAGCAGACGATGCTTCTTATTTCGTATAAGAAGTTGTCAGAAATTTGTATTCCAAACCATTATAATTATTTAATATCGAAATCATTTTAAAATTGAGTAAACGTCCTCTATATTTTAATTAAAAGGAAAATTTGAATTCCTTACGTTAAACTTTACTCAAAACGAAATTAGAATATTCGACTCCTGCACTAAAAGGATAAGTATACTTGTAAGATTTAAAAATAAAACAAGAAGCCTAGAGTAAAATAAAAAATTCATTGTCAGTTACAGAAGGAAACAAAAACCATGTGTGAAATTTAAATTATTCGACTCCTGCACTAAAAAACCATGTGTGAAAATAGAATATTCGACTCCTGCCTAAAAGGATAAGTATACTTGTGAGATTTAAAAATAAAACAAGAAGCCTAGAGTAAAATAAAAAATTCATTGTCAGTTACAGAAGGAAACAAAAACCATGTGTGAAATTTAAATTATTCGACTCCTGCACTAAAAGGATAAGTATACTTGTAAGATTTAAAAATAAAACAAGAAGCCTAGAGTAAAATAAAAAATTCATTGTCAGTTACAGAAGGAAACAAAAACCATGTGTGAAATTTAAATAATCTAAATACACATTATACAAATCGTGTTAAAAAACGGAATGAAAATAATTTTTTGAAATACCTTGTAATAGCTTTGAAGAAGCTCATACCAAAGTCTTTTAATATAACCAATTTAAGGTCAGGCAAAATATTTTCCCACTGAACTAAAATGGCTATTTGTATTTAATTTTCACGAGGTTTAGTTAGATTAACTTTTTACGTTTTTATTCTTTAAGAAATTTGAACTTTCTAAAGAATGAATAAATTTTAAAAGATGCAACTTTGCGTCAATAAGAAGTCTTTTTCAATTTTTCTGAATTGGAAAGTATTAAAACTATGATTTTTTGTGGAGCCCTTAAAAATTATCTTTTTTTTTTTTTTTTTTTTTTTTGTGTGTGTGTGTGTGTGTGTGTTGTGTCTTGGAAAGGGGATCCCCCACTTTTTTTAAGGGTTGGGGGTTTTTTTAAGGGTTCTACTAACTCAGATAAGTGAAGGTTTAAAAAAAAAAGACTAAAAATATTAGCATGCATTTTCTCTTGAAAATAAAAAGACCAATTGTTATTTCATTATATTTTCCTAATAATTTATGTTTCATATTTATTATTCATAAAAACATATTAATTTAATATTAATTTAGGTAACAATAACAACAGAAATAAAAAATATTATTTACACTTTAAATTTAGTACTTACAAAACTTTCTTCGCTATAGCAACTACTTCTGTTTTCTTTAATTAGTAATATGTTAAAGGTACTAATTAGAGAAGCTGGTTCTTTTAAGAATTTATTTTTTTCTCGTAATTTGAGATAAATAAAGTTTGATTTTTTTTCCGCAGTTTGGATTTGCTGAAACTTTACCTTTTTTATTCTTTGGAACTGCTGAAAGCAGTGTTAAAGAAAACAATCTTTTTTCGTTTAATTTATCAGCTTCTTAAAACCAAAAAGACAAGAAGATTCTCCGATTCTTTCAAAAATAAATCATCACAGTTAACCAAAACTAGAACGGGTAGTTCATATTATACTAGAAGCGGCTTATGAAAAATTAGACATTTCTTTAAACTTTATTTTATTAAGTCATTGCTATCCTCTCCTTTAAGTAGTTAAAATATCTACCCTATATCTCTCTATATATGCTCTATATCGTATATCTTTTATAAACATACTATCTTTGAGAGATTCCTTCCCATTGTAAGTTAAAAATGAAGAGTGGTAAAATTTTTCGCACAGGTTTAAATGATTAATTTTATTTAAATGAACTCAGTAGTGCAACTTTGGTAACGTATTACTAGAGTTACAAAGGATAAAATTTTGTATACGAA